TCATCATCTTTAGCAAACGAGCCCTTTTCACACCATAGATTTCCTTAGGAGATTTGGCCACAATGCATTCCATTTTCTCTTCTTTGGATTTTGCAACAATAATTATTCTGACACAACAAGGTCATCAGCCTTGCATCCAGCCCTCAACCTGGAGTACCAGGTCTCTGTATTTATGTCCCCCAGTGACATGATCATTATCTTTAACATTATTAACAATTTGATCAGCTTTCTCAAAAACTTCTAATAGCTATTACACTTTCTTTCATGCACAGGAGATGCCTTACCAGTTCTTTTTAAGATTTGTAGGCATGGGTACAATAATAATATGCAAAATAGGAAATAAGGCACAGTAAATCCAAGTGAAACTGTGATGTGGCTGTCAACTTGCAACAGTAACAAAGAGACTATGTCACTTGAATGTGCAATATTGCGAAAGGGGGTCAAGATGCATTGGAGGTATATATGAGTGAAGATTTGGTATGCATTACCCTGGAAACCACAGAAGTGCAGGGATTTTTGTGTGTTTTTCTTCAGTTTCTTGGACACAATTGGTCAATAGAACCTCGTGTAGTGGGGACATAGATGTTCAGCTGTTCAGATTTTATGATGCTTTCATTTAAACACATTTTAGTTAGCCAGACTCAGTGGCTCCTAAACCTTTTTCCACCCAACTACTTAAAAATTCTTGATGGACATGGAGGACAACTTAATGCTTCTTCTGTCTGTTTAGCAGCTGTAAAGCCCTGTGCTATAGGTATCGTAGTATTTTAAAAGTTAAGTGGAATTCAGTTGTAATGCAGTAAAATACAGCAAGAGATAAAAAGCAATAAAAATACAATTGAAAATCATATGAATATTAAATGCAGTGGGTGTGCATATTGCGTTAAAGAGACTTTTCACTGTTCAGTTTGATGATCAGCAGCTTGGGTCTTAAGTCTGATCCAGCATTATCTTGCGTCTATATTTGGACTTGAGGGCAACAAGTGATGAAAACCAGCCGTACATATGTACATTGTAGCATCAGAAACTGTATTGCTCCCTCCACAAGTTGTGGATGCTCTTCACATATTTGAATTCAGGACTCAAGGAATGCCTTTTCAGTTCAGAGCATAATGCTTGTGTCACATGACAACTCAGTTATTTCAATATCGAAAGGATTACATATCCTGTTGTTTGGTTCTGCTTTGGCCATGAAGTGATCTTAAAATTGATTCTTCAAGCTAAGAGGGTACTTACTTACTTACTTACTTACTTACTCATTGAGCTGAGCCCTTCTGGAGGAACCACCAATTCTACAGCTACTCAAGAATTTCCCAGCATTTTATGGAACCCGAAGGTTCATTACCATGTTCACAAGAGCCCTCCACTGGTCCATATCCTGAGCCAGATTTACCAATCAATACCATCCCATCCTATCTCTCTAAGATCCATTCTAATATTGTCCACCCACCTATGCCTTGGTCTTCCCTGTGGTCCCTTTCCTTCTGGCTTCCCACCAATATCCTATACACATTCCTCGTCTCCTCCATTCGTGCTACATGCCCTGCCCACCTCATCCTCCTTGACTTGATCATTCTAATTATACTTGGAGAAGAGTACAAGTTATGAAGCTCCTCATTACAAGCTAAGAGGGTGTGTAGTATAATGTTTTATGTTTTTGTGAAAGACTAAATCATATCAGAAAGGAAGTATTGCAGTATTGAAAATTGACTGAAATTATCTTTTTCTACCAAAGAAGTGAAGTTTCTTAATCATTTCATTACTTTTATTGTGCACATTCAGTAATGTTACTAAAATTCAGTGAGAACCAGGGTTTAATGCATTAGGCACATGAGTATATTTGCTAGGTAAGCAAATCTTCGGAATAGTTTTTTAATTGAAATGATTCTGGTATAAAGAGATATACTTCTGTTCGTAATTCAATCAGATGAGTAAGGTCTTCACTTCATGACAATCACTGTACTCCTGTGGAATGAGAAGCTGTAAATGAGTGATACTCATTTCTTCACATGAAAAATTCTTGACTTCATAGGTGTGGCCACTATGAAATGAACAGTTTTCACAGTGGTGTCCAAAACACCAATCATTTATGAGGTCTGATCTGATGGAGAGATGGATTACAGCTTGTAGTTGTAGTAGGAGTTGTAATCCGTCTCTCCATCAGATCGGACATTTACACAATGGAGTCAGCCGTCAAATAGTATCAAATATTAAATAATAGCATACAACATAACAACAGGCCTCCGAACACCACATCAGGCCTTGTGTATATAATATGTCCATATAAACATTACATATATTACGATTACAACTGCCAACTTCCAAATACCATCACATTTACATCTTTTAACTGTGCTTTTGACTATGTAACTGGTTATTTTAAGACCTCAACTTTTATTGTAATTTATATTTTATATTTATACTCACTCATACCATTTTATACCATTGTATACACTTGGAAGTTTAGTACTGTATGCTATATTTGACATGCAATTCAATAGCGAAAAGTTTAATGTATTTGCTTGATTATGGCCTTTTGAAGGCCGAAACATGTAGCAAGAGTATCTCCTAGAGCTACTTACACGTATTATTCATTGTTGTGTTGTGACAGTTTTCAGTAAGAAATAATATACATCATTACTATTAATTTGATGTTATAGGGTGTCTGTTCTTCCTTTCTTTTGTATTGCATCTGTTCTGTGCCCCATTGGGTGTGCTGCTCTCTTGGCCATGTGATACACAAAATTAATGTTAATAATGACAAGCTTTAAGAGTACTATTGACAAAGTGCACAGTGCAGTGGATTCTTTAAGAATGTGTGGCTGAAACATGTAGTGCATAAACTTTTTTTTTTATTTTAACAAACATTTTAGTTAATTAAATGTGGATGCCATCTAAAATCTGTAAAGATATTGTTACATTATAGACAGAAGAAGACTGACTGTAATATTTCAGCTTGTTCCATTTTTATTACTATAGTCAGAATGGTTTCAGTATCTTCTGTACAGTGACTTCAAGAAATCATGAGCATATCATCCCTGTGAAATTTGTCTGTTAGTGTCTCACAGCAACAGTTGTGTCTCTTCATTGAAGACTAATTGCTGTAGATTCTTTGTTCACATGGGGTGCCTCTTGTATCTTCAATCTCTTATGACCTCCAACATCAGAATTTCAGGAGTGTTATGGTTCTGACCAAATTGTATCTTCACTTCCACTCACATTACTGTTATCACCCATTGCAACCCTGTCTCCATCACACTTAACTTTCACTCTCAAGGGAGATTGTTTCAACAGAGTCACCATCCAGCAATTAGATCCTTTTCATTATCTTTTCAGTCCTCAAAAATTGAGCCATTATAGAATTAGATATTATATTGTGTTGAGAGTAATTATTATTATTATTATTATTGGAGGGGGTGGGTTTCCCCATGCACCGCGACTAGTAGTCTATTGTACGTCCCCCTTTGATGTTCTACCAGTCTCTATACCCTACCGGTACTGGTGCGTGCCATCAGCCCCAACTTAGCCAGCGAGTTCGGCCTCTACTGGCTCAGCGGTACCTGATGCTTCCCCCATGTACCAGAGGCATTAGAGACTCTTTGTTGGGCGGTAAATGTCCGATAATTTGGCTCAGAGGCCTCCTTGAGACATGAGGTTCTTTTACGTGCCATAAAGCTACGACACGGGACCCACAGCTTAAAGTCCCTCCCAGAGGACTTATTCCTTGAATTTTTCCGCCCTTAAGAATTCCACGCCCTCCGCCGGGTTTGAATCCGCATACCACGAGTCGTGAGGTGGGAACGTTACCTCTAGACTACAGAGGCCGCTGTGTTGAGAGTAATAATGCAAGACTTCCACTCTTGTCCACAGTGTAAGATATGCACTCATTAACCCTAACAAGCCAGCACTATGTTGGTGGTCCACACCATCTCATTCTCCATTCATTTCAACTACAGACACTGGCAGTCACCTTCATTTCTTTCTGCCTTTTTTGCACTAGATAAGAACCTAACAAGTCTGCCCAATACATCTTATTGGTGGTCTCTAGCTTCTTTACCCCCCCCCCAAAATCATCCTACTGCAAAATGAAAAATTTTCATTTATTCTATTTCTTTCCCATTATCATAATAAAGTACTACTTGGACAGTGTGTTTAAAACTTCATATAAATTAAGGTCATCCTCTCTCACTTTCACTCTGCCATATATAAACACACCAAAAATGTTTATTTTTGGCTTTATTCTTACTCATTCACAAGCTGGACTTAGAGTGGCATTTGCATATTGACAGAACTGTCATAGTGAATTTAACATGACTGACACATGATCTTTTATGGAAGCAGTGACCCTAATGTGATCTATAAGTGCATAATTCGTAGCAGAAAATTGTAACAAATATGTTTAGAGCTGTGGAGAAAAATGATATAGGCTGACCCTAAATAAGGGATTATTCTAATGGTATGGTAGTATAGTGCATGGTCAGTTGAGTTGGAATGGGGCAGACTGATTCAGTAGCGGGACTCATGGATTAAGTGTTGTTGGTCTGTTACAAACCAGAATTTGAGTGGGTATTATTTTATTTTTACCCTAGCAGGACTCTTCATGTTAATCAAGCACTCATTACAGTAAAGAATTGTTACAGTTAATTCTTTACCACAATCAGCATTTCAATCCTATGTTATCAGATTGGAACATCGAGTAAGTAGTATCTATGTACAAGGAAAATTGTAGATCACTCCTACCGAATTTGTATGGGACTAATAAAAATATTCCAGTAATAATTTCAGATATGACAATGTTGATTCCAGAATAAAAATTTCACAGTATTTGTTCTGAAAAAAAAAATGTTTTCTTGGTTGAGACATGAATTCTCTTCTATTAACCTCTGCAAGCACCTAATCACATCACTGCCATGAACATCCATAGAGTAATGGCAGTTTTCTTTATTTTATGGTTTTAGTGTTAGCAAGTTTAAGTAAGCATTCATCTTCTTTACATGCAGCAGTCTGCAGCAAATATACTTCTCCAGAACTTTCCATCTACAGTTGGACAGCAACAGCAGCAACACAATGTTTCCACTGCTCAAAACCAGCTCTCAGCTCTACTTGCCAGTGGTAGCTGCAGCAATGCTCCATCTGCAGGTGGTGCAAGCAACCATGTGGTTCTTTCTCAGCTTCTTCAGGTAAAAGACTCTGCTTTTGGTTTTTAAACTTTTCAATTTCTAGATTCTTGTGGCTTCTTTGAAATAACTGCAGTATATTCTGTAAGTGAATGATGTTCAGAATGAGAACAGTTAGAGGAAATGGTTATAAATCCTTATCTCTTAAATTGTAGTGTTATACTCCTGGAATGAAGATACTTGCTTCACTTCAAATATCACTACTTTCAAATCTGAGAAGATTGTGATAATATTACTTTGTTTTCACAGCAGTGTTCAGCAGCTAGAAGAGTTAGTTACATACAAGAATTACACAGCAGTCATAGAGCATCTGTAGGGTCATGTATTTTTTATCTTGGAACATAACAGCTGTGGAGTATTTTGAGAATTAAATGACTGTAACTTCTCTAAATGTAATCACTCACTTTCATCTAGTGCCAGGGTTCAAAATGTATGCAGCCATGCTTCCATCTCCATCCCCTTAGCATGTTGTCTGATTAAGCTTAGGGACAATTTACCTGTATGTTACCCTTAACAATAATTGTGCAATAAAGGTTTTTACCAATCCTAATACTTCTGCCATGAATGGAACATAAAAAGAAACAAACTCCATGGTTCTAGTCCACAAGCGAACTGTACCGTCCAAGGGACTGCTGCTTGTCAGCGAAGTTAATGCCAACTTTAGCAGATAGAGGATGTTGTGTGGTCAGTGCATCAAATCCCCCTGGCCGTTAATTTCGGTTTTCTAGACTGGAGCCACTATTTCCTTGAAATAGCTCCTCAGGAGGCTAAGTGGAATGAATGGGACATGGGCTTTTTCTTTTTTTCAGAATAATTTGATTATTAATATTTTTAACTTCGCTGCTTCTTTCTGGAACTTACTTTCTTTTTCATGGTTTAGAAGGTATGCAAATACTTTATCTTTCTGCCTGAATGTGAGATTGAATTGTACCGTGATTATTGCATATGAAGTCTGACAATAAAGTTCATGAACTCGCCAACGTGTACTTGCTGTGGCAGCAGTGGACAAAACACCACAGTATGGCTTCATGACGTTGGCATATCAGTGTTTCACAGCTGTGTTGTTGATCTGTGGCAGTCTCTTTCTGAGTAGCATCTATTAATGTCTGAGTGTGTTTTGGTGTGCTGTCACGAGAATGCCAGAGCTTGAATTAGAGCAGTGCATGAACATTAATTTTTTTGTGGAGGCAGGAGTGGCAGGAGTGGAAGCAAAATCAGAGAGATGTTAGTACAGGTTTATGGGGATAATGCTATGAAGAAAACAGCAGTTTACACAAGTGGGTGACAGGATTTTCTGGGGGAAAAGGACTTGTCCCTGATTAAGAGAGATCAGATCGGCCAGCATCTAGCATAACTGAAGAGCACATTGCAAAAGTTTGTCAAATTGTGCTTGAAAATTGTTGGCTGTCTGTCGGGAGCATAGCAGAGCAAGCAAACATTGACAGAGAAACAGTCAGGAAAATCTTAACTGAAGATCTTGACATGAGGAAAGTGTGTGCAAAAGTGGTCCCAAAGGAGCTCACCGAAGAACAAAAACAAAGAAGAGTCAAAATTTGCCAAGGCCTTATGGAGAGGCAAGATGATATTTTGGGCCATGTCATCACAGATAATGAAACATTGGTCTACCAGTATGACCCTGAAATGAAGTGGCAAAGCACAGAGTGGAAGACTACAAATTCTCCATGACCAGAAAAGTTCCATCAGTCCAAATCAATAATCAGAACAATGTTGCTAACTCTTTGATATTAGAGACATTGTTCATTATGAGTTTGTACCAACTGGACAGTCAACCAAGTTTACTTTTGGACTGAAAAGGCTGTATGAAAAAGATGCATGTCCTGAACCTTTTGCCAGCAACTCATCAATCTTGCATCACGACAGTGCACTTACTCACATGGCACTATTATGTGAAGGATTTTTAGCTAGTAAACACCCGCTGGAACACCCTCCCTATTCACCGGATGTAGCCTCCAGTGACTTTTTTCTGTTACTGGGGATAAAGGAAATACTGAAAGGGAGGCATTTTGATGACATTTATAGCATAAGGACTAATACAATGACAGCTCTGAAGGCCATTCCACAAAACCAGTTCCAAAATTGTTTTGAAGGGTGAACTTGGTGCTGGCATCGGTGTGTAGCTTCCCAAGGGAAGTACTTTGAAGCTAACAACAGTGTTATTCAGCAATGAAGTATGTAGCACTTCTACCACGATGAGTTCGCGAACTTTATTGTCAGAGCACGTGTTCTATAAATTTGTGTTTAGAAGATCTTTGAAATAAACCCACATTGCAGAGGTACATATGTGAAATTTGTAAGCGGATATATCCCTGTCCAGAATGTTAAATGCTATTTAATCATGGAGCAGATGCCCACGGTGGCTAACAGCATATAAAATATACTCAAGTTATAATACAGGAATCAACCCATAATTTTGTCTTAATTTTTCAGCAGACATCACCTTCGGGACAATCTCCTCATTTGATATCTGCCAGCACAAACACTTCAACTTCCAGGGGCACCAATTCCACTTCGCCCAATCCTCTGCCCAGTACTGCTGCCAACACATTGCAACCTCATTCTCAAGAAAGATTTTCCATGCTCCAGCAACAGGGCATCAAGTCTGGATTTCTGAAGGATGCATTTAGCTCTGCTGAAATAGCAAATTCTGGTATTTCACAGATTACAACATCCATTGCTGGTAATTTAGATGGCACCTTGGCAAATGCTGTTCCAGGTACATTTGGTATCCAAGCAAAATCCCCAGCAGGGACAGTGGGCTGTGCCAATTTCAGGGATGGCTTTATCCACCCAGGGAGTAACAAAGTTGACTCATCCACAAGCACATGCCCAAAAACTTCTCCCATGTCATCCCCAGGCCTGGTACTTTCATCGCATGAAAATACTACCAGTCTTCTCTTGGCAAAACCTCCTCACCAGCATACTTGTCATCAGGAGGTAACACTGAAGCCACCACAGGATACCATCCAGAAGCAAAGTTCAGCCACTACACAAACTGAGCTCATCCATCCAAGCATCCATCTTGGGCCAAAGCAGCATGAACCTGTACCATTTATCTCTGCATCTAAAACAGGTGCAGATGCTGGTCCCACATTTCTAGGACTCCACCCATTTTCCAACATTCAAGGATTGGTTTCCACCACGGGAGGCAGTTTACCCCTTGTGACTGCACCTGTAATGACATCAGGCAGTGGTAATTTTGGAGGTGAACAATTACTGATTGCACATCATGCTGGAATGTCTGTTTTGGCTGCCCCTCAGCTTATTCAGTGCCTCCAACAGACTCAGAATGCTGCAGCACCTGGGATAATAAACATGCCTCAACTCCATCTTACTCAGAGTGCCATAAACAAAGCTATTGGACAAGGTCTTGCATTCAACACACCCACAGGAACGATTTTAATAGGTGGGAGTCCAGAGACCTTCAGTGCTGCAGTGACTAATCAGCATAAACCATCAATTGTGACTGCAAATAATAATACAGCCACAAAGTTGCTGCCTCAGCAGCCATCAGTTCTTTTGCAGCAGTTAAATACAGGAACAGCAAATGCTGTACGGAGGTGCAGTTCAGACTCCAATAATTCAAGTATTTCAATAGGCTCACCTCCTCCAGGTGGGGGTGGAGCTGCCAGTGGTACTACTGCAGTGATTGGACTTATTAACCAACCAATGGTTAGCCAGAGTACATCAGCAACTTCTGCCAGTACTGGCACAAGGAAAAACCAACAGTCAATAGAGACACAGACTATCTCACTGGGTATCCCTACCACCAACAGTCTCCAGACCACATTCCTAGATAACATTGTACACACACATCCTAATCTTGTCAGACTTGTTCAGCCTACTACAACATCAGTGCACACTGGGAAGAAAAAGAAACAGAAACAACCTCGCATGTCCAAGATCCTCCCTGGGGTGACCCCAGCTAACATCATTGTAAACAGACAGTGTAACAGTACTGGCACTACAACAGATCTTGTGAAAAGTCCGCTACAAGAGAGGAACTTTTCCAAACCTACCACTGTATGTCAAGGTACGCAACATGTGACCCGCACAACAGGGAATGATGCCTCCTTCTATGTTACTGCACCACCGTTCACTTTGGCACAGCAGTCTGTGCGTGTGTCTACCGTTAGCTGTAATACAAGTAACACAAACTCTGTTCCACCTCTGACCTCCATCTGCTCAGTTATGCAGAACACCCCAACCAATATTCTGTGCCAGGTTGGCAGTACTGCAACTTCCACAGCAACAACCATGGCAACTCTTCAGTCTGTAATGTCAAAGGTGGCAGCAAACCTTGGTGTTCAAACTGTGGCAGCTGATGTAGCTACTACAAGTAGTGGTCACCATCATCTGACACCCTCAACAAGTAAGCCTGGCATGCAGCACCATTGTGTAGCATCACAGACAGTGTCTGTGCAGCAGCCCCAGAGTGGCATGGTGCCGCATCTTGTGCCGATTCCAGCTGGAGGCAATACTGTCTCAAGTACCGCAGCACAGGCAACAGCAGTTGGGATGCAGAGCATTATACAGAAAGTGCAGACCATTCAACTGACTCCCCAGAACCAGAAGGTGAGTAATACAAACTACTGCCTAGTTGGGAAGTTTCTGCTAATATTATGTAGCAACAAAACAGCCCCATCTCAGTACAGTAAGACCTCACTAATTCGGACTGTTTGGGAGTGAACCCATGTTCAGATTAGTGATGGTCCAAATTATAGAAGTGGTACTGAAAATATGTTCAGGGAAGTTATAAACTGGACTTCACGTGTCTTTTTTAGGCAACAACTTTATTTTGTAACTTATATTGCATATCATAAAATAAATTTACTTGTCATAAAATGTAAAAATGTAGTTTTGACATCAGTCTTAAAAACGTTACAGGTATCCTGCATACTTAGTACTATTGAGAATGTGTTTAAAAAATGAACTTGTGTTTTTTTTGTGCTCCTCTTTTGTACTGTTCTTTTACTACATCTTGCTGATAGCAGCAATATGATCATCAAGATCATAATGCACAAAGAAACGGTCGTCTGAATTATTGTGAATTCTGAATTAGTGATGTTTTGCTCTGCTCTGTTTATGTAGCCTATACACTTTTTTCTGTACTGTGCTCATACATCAAATGTCAAGCTAAAAATTATAGAAAGCAACCATTCACAAAATGAAAGTAAAACATCCATGTTCAAAGAGCCTTTTGCCCCAGTTTTGCACACAGCACTAAGGTAGAGAGAGATGTTCCCAAATTTTGTACTACACAAAACTTGCTTGGGGAGAAAGGACTTCAAGAAGGCAATCAGCTTTAGTGCCTTCTTGAAGAAAGGTCCACTTAAACGTGATTTTTTGTGTGTTATTTGTTGAAAAAAATGAAATTGTATTTGGCCATCTTGTTTGTTTATAAAATCATATTTTCTGTCTGTAACATTGTTCCCATTTATTACAATAAAGTATGGATTGCAGAAATGCATCTCCATATTTACTAGATTAAAACTATGTATTGAGCTGGTGCTGACATTATCAGGAGCACAGATCCTCTGTTAAATGCATTGTTGCTATATTCATACTCTGAAAGAATATCATGGATTTATAGTACAAGATTCCTGTGAATATTTATATTTGTTTTAAATGTGTTCATTTATTTTATATGTATTCTGTAAAAGAAAAATTTTGTATCAGCAGTTCTTATATGTAGCATGCTCAACTATCCTCAAAGTTTCACTCATCCTTTCTCTCTTACATGGTTTGTGTTATGCTCTTCTTTGCAAAAACTCTGTAGATGATATAACTAAAATTAGGATTAAATTTCATCAAGTGTAATGATGTTTTTTAACAACAAAATAAGGCATTTACATGTTTTGGCGAATGATGGCCATTATCAGAAAGCAGCCAACACTTCCGAGGAAATACTTCGCATATATTTCATTTATGTGTTGTATTGTAAGATTAAAAAAATATGATCAAAGATATGCATTTTATGGGTAATAGATCCCCCCTCCTTTTCTTTTTTGATTAAGTAGTATCTTCCTGTGAAACCCAATGATGTCCATGTTTCTTTGCAGTAGGTCATCAGTATTGTGTTGGTCGTGTGTGTCTATAGATGGCAGATGAAGTTTTGATTGTCATTATTAAACCTTGTCGTGAAAACTCACAGAATAACTCCAGCTGGGCAAATAAAGAAGTATTTAGACTGAATTTATCTTCTTTCAACATCACTTTTATGGGTACCAAACACCTAGAACCAAGCATCTTAAATTATTATTTTTATTCCATCAGTATTTCCCCTTTTATAGAGATTGTCAAGCAGCCAAGCATTTTCATCTGCATCTGTTTTCTCAGCCATTTCCTAAGTTTCCTATATTATGTCTCCCTTCTACAAGATCCTCTAGGGCATTCTCGTTTAGTTTTATGTTCAGAACTTTCTTTGGGGTTCTCCATTCATTCTTAAAATATGCACATACCATCCCATTCTGTAATTTATAAATTTATCTTCCACGATTATCTTAAATTTTTCAAATTTTATGAGGACAAGGTGGAATTGGAAACTTCCCAGACTGTTATTATTGTAACTTCCTCAGTGAAAGAAGATGAGAAGGGAAGCCAAGGTGATTTCGCTCTGTTTGCCAAATTGAAAATTAAACTGAAGGGATGACTTTTTGAAACACATTCAAAAGAAATAGCAAGCTGTACTTGACAGCATTAAGGAAATTGACTTCCACAGTGCTTTCGAAGCATGGAAAACTGATGGGATTGCTGTATACATTCCCAAGGAGACTATTTTGAAGGAGATGGCAGCCAAAAATAAGTTAAGCCAGCATTTTTTTTTTGGCCTAGTCCAGGAACTTTCCAATAGAGTCTAGTATATATTAATTTTTTCTCTCGTGGCATTTTCGTCTTAACATTTTACAAGCCTCATGTCAGCTATCATTAGTCTGATAATATCTGCCATGATCTGTCCATGTTTCTGCACAATACGTTAATATGGCCATGTAGTAACCTTTAAGTAAACATATTTTGGCATTTTCTAATGCCCAATATGTTTCCAGTTCTGTAATTTTACCTCATTTTTTTATTCGTATGTAATTTATTCTTGTATGTTTCTGTTGCTATTTTACCTTGTAAGTAATCAAAACTGTCCACTTTCTTTACTTCATAATTGATACACTTTATCCTTTGCTGCCACCTGTCCTCCAATCCATTTTCATGACCTGCATTCATGAAAATTTACTTTTCATCCAAAATCTTTATACACTGAAAGACCTACAAATGTTTGTTTTTGAAGTATGTGCATATAGTGTGCATATAGCTTTTGGTATAGCACTTACCTTACCTTTCTCTTATTAGATTCTTACCCACTAATATGGTTTTTTAGTTTTGTAGACGTGCTCCCTCATTGTGTTTTCTGTGACTGGCGGCCTCTAGTTGCTGTTACGGGAACCTTCCTTGGGGACTGGACTGGTGTTCTCTCATCAGCTTGATGGCCAGCCCTGGAACCCTTCCCTGTGATGCTCTCCACCTGCTTGCTGTTGCCCTTCACACGGGGTGTAACATCGTCGCGCCATGGGGCACCGCAGTGGTACTTCCTCTTTGCCCAGTCATAACACGTGGTGTCTCATATCCACAGATGCATTGTGGGCGTGCATGACTTTGAGTTCCAGGGCGAACTCATCTGTAATATTATAGGCGAATACCTAGGTTGTTAGTGGCCGTCACCCCAGAGCCAATTTTATGAAGGCTTCCTTCAAAATGGGATCTCCCCTGATGCCTTCTTTAGGGCACACCTCATAGACAGGACTAGTATGTACTGCCTGGAGATGGTTACAGATACTCACAAGACATGACTTTTTTTCTAACAGTCTGTTGGCATGAATACTGTTGTGGCCGTTCTTTTCCAACACTGATTGCATAACAAGGAGACTTGAGTAATTGAAGCCCTTGCCTTGTTCGTTTCTTCTATTTGTTTTTTCTGGTCTCCGTCAATTTTCTTCTGGGAAGAGATGGCCAACATCCCCACATTGCCAACAGACGAGACACACCATTCTGCTGTCCTCAGTTCTTGATAACCGTGGGCCCATGATCAGTGTAACTCTACACTCATGGGTTGATGCATTCTGGCTACCTCTTGGCCACTCTGGAGTTTCTACTTAAGCCATCGGCGTTTTGATCTTCTGCCTTGCTTCTTGAATTTTAACTGCTTTAACCCTCATGATGGTCCTCAGTAGATAGCACATACTGCTGCCATTATCTGTTGTCACATGTTAATAACTAAACATGGCATGTGGATTGGTAATTGGATTTATTGAACGCTTATAATTCATAACTACAAATAACTGTAGCTCTTTCACTAAGCTACACACTCTACCAGTCATTACTGAAAACACTATGTCTTCTCAGTTTTCACTAGTTGTTACTTTATAACGGCGTCTAACAATGTGACTGAAGGATTCAGACTGGTTACTGCCAACTCTTAACTCCCGAAACATGACTGGCTAACTTTTTCCAATGGTTCTCACTGTATAACCTAGGCATGGACCACATAGAAAATATGGCATTCAGGAGTTCCTCTATTGTTATGTGTTTATTCTTTGCCACGGACATGTGTTTACTTTTTCCATAGCAGTGGCCGCATCTATTCGAGCCACCAGTCCAGCTTTCTGTCATCATGTCACACAATATGTACTTCAATTGATGGAACTATAAAAAAAGCATGGTTCCAAAAAGAAAGTCCATAACTTCCAGTGTAAGACTAATAGATTGAATCCATTCTTCATCCTTTTTCATATATAGTTATCCAGAGTGTTGGGGTTTCATTTTTGGAATAGTATGCAGACATAACAGATGTCATCTAACAGAAAGTCTAAGTCATACAATGAGTGATTTCCTCCCCAGAGTATCCACAATGCAAATTGTGTGCATGCAACTTCATTATTTGAATATGTGCACTCCTGTTCTTTTGTGCTACTACATTGTTTTCTTACCACGGGGATAATATGAAAGCATTTGCTCGTGCCATTCAACACCTAGCATATAATTGTTATATTGCTGTTTTTATCTTCATCATTTGACCTCTCCTGTTAATTTTGTTACTCATAATATCTTCAAATTCTGTTGAGATAAGAAGATATGCTGTTCTTCCACTTGGTTGCGCGCACCAACTCTTTGAGATATTTTGGTTGGTCACTGTTTGGTTTCTTTATCATCGGGAAATATAATATGTTTAAATACATTAGCATGCAGAAGTTGTGATATGAGACCATAAATATTGTAAAAGTTAGCCATGTAGAGTGAGTGTCCAGTGCTTATCTTTCCATCCATCAGAGTACCTTGTCCTATGCTACCTAAATTATCCAGTTAGCCTGTGTAGATAAAGATATGTACTTAAGTGTCATACTGTTGAGTTCTATGGGTATGAAAAACTTTGTGCTCTATTTATGACTTTTTACCTTTGATATACTGCTGGAAATTCAGTCGTCACCTCCCCAATACTCATGTACTCATTCAGTAAAATTTTCTTCCCAGAGTAGTTTTTGGATTTGTTGTGGAGGCAATGATATGCAGAACGAGAAAGACATCCC